TAAATTGTATTTCTTTCAACCAATACATAACTCAAACACATTCAAATAATGCAAGAATATGCACATCACATTAATTACTTAGTGTAAATAATCTTTTAAATGGGAACAAATATTAAAATTTTACTATATTCATGAGGCATTATAACAGATGAAATTACTGTACAGAGTACTACTCTGCTGCAAAAAAAAATTTAGTCATTTGCAGGAAAATAGATGCACCTTGAGACCTTAACTTCAAATGAAATAAATCAGACAAGCAAGCTTAAATATCATATAGTGTCTCTTATGTGAGAAATTCAAACCATAAGTTAAAGAGAAAGATAAAAGACAGGTAATATCAAGTGAGAGACAGATCTTTTACAAATGGGGAGGAGGCTAAGAGATGGAAGGAAAAGGGAGGATACAGAGGGTATGTGTTATGTATATGAACCAACTCCCCATAATAATTATGTACTGCAAACATGTACTAATAAAAATAAATTTTTTTAAATTATTGTTTAGTTATAATAGTTAATTAATTAGCTTCAGGAACCTCACAATCATCTGTAAACTTAAAGGAAAAATGTCACATTTTCTTCTAAGAAGCAAGTGTTAAGACTTGACTCAAACTGGTATTCCCTAATTAATGCTGGCACTTTTGACAGGAAAGGACTCACCCTGGCAGCACCAAAGTTGAAATTAGCCCAAGATGAAATGCTGCTGCCCCATTCACTGGAATTTCTGTTAGAGCTCTTTCACCTGGCCAATTTCCAAGTGGACATGTGGCCATTTCCTTCTATCATGTAAGCCAAATGTCACCCTGAAATTACCCTCTTATTCTATATTTTAAATAGAACGGGGGAGGTTAGTTTGATTCAAAATAAATTCCTATAATGTTATGAAGGAAATGTCTGATTAAATTTCTGTTTTTATCTTTTGTGATGGTTTTGTATCTGGAATACTTAAAATTGATATAAAGAAAGCCTTATTTTGATATTGTGAAACAGAATTTTCCTACTTGTCAAAAATGTTAAGCCACTACTTTTTGGCCACAAATCACAACACAAGCTTGTTTACCTGGCCTCGCACCCCACAACTTTGGGGGAACATTCAGGCTTTTCCAGGTTAAACACTAACTCTTAGCCCCAAATACTAGATGGAATTCATTGCCATCTCCTTCCTTCCAGCTAGTGTGTCTAGGTGGTACGATTATCTTCAAATTAATGTTTCAGTTTTCCCAAAGCCTTAAATTTTAGCATCGTATTTCATAATGAAAATGAAGGTTTAACTCTTTTTTTCACTCCTAAAAGAGAGAAGTAAGTATACATTCTCTAGGATCCCTTTTAGGTATACATTTCATTAAATCAAAGATTTCAATCCAAAAATAAAACAAAGCCTATTTTATGTGAATTGTCAATTATCTTTTGCTACAGTTTATCAAATCTACCTGTCAGAAGCCTGGCAAAGTTTTAGTTTAGAACAATTTACCTTAATATGGATAGCAAAATGAAATTTTCAATTCTGATTGAAAAATAATATTTGATTGTATTCTATATATTGATTTTTCCTTCTCAAAATTTGTATCTACACACAGAAAATTACACTTCCTACTTTGGTAAATGTGCAATGTACATCTTAGAATACCATTATGCATTGGTTTTAATAGTTTCCCATCTAGATCATATATTTGAACTTAAGGATAATAACAATCATATAATAGATACTCAAAATATAGTTTAATGTGCTAATGACTTATACTATTACTTATAATACTTCCCAGTACCCCACATATTATCTGCTCAATAAATACTGATTAGTGACTTAGTAAACAGACATAAGGATGTCTTAAGGGATTCAGAGGCTATTGTTTTCAGGTATTCCCATAGGCTCTGTTTTAAAATACTGAATTAAGATATCTTCTTTAGAAAAATTTACAGCTTAAAGGATTTTGTAGATCTCTAAATATCAGCAATTAATAAGAATGAGAATTAATTCTAGATGACATGGTAAGATTTCTATCAAGTGTACAGATACAGTGTAATTCCTAGAGACGTATTCATGAATCTTCAGCGAATAATCATTTTTTAGACACAATCTATCTCTTTCAGTGGGCAAGAGGCCTACAAGGGTTTTCATGACTAGGTTTTTGAGGCATCTCTTGGCTCATGAGTCTAATGACAGAAGAGATTACGAAAACCAAAAAGTAAACATCAGTAAGACCCAAGGATACTGGACTTTTGAAAATCCTATCTTTCCCTGATCCAACTGAGACAAATACAGGTAAAAATTAATTTTATAATACTTTCATGAAGAACTGTTGAAGTTCGTGATAAAATACTATCTCCCAAACTATAATGTGATCCTTTATATACATACTATTTACTCTAAATAAAGAATAGCGATTGAATTTTAAGAGGATAACAAAAAAGAACATTGGCAGATGAGTTGGCATACCTCCTTTTGATACAGAATAGTCTGAAGAGGGAATGTAGCAACCAGATTAAATTGGTGCTTTCCAATAAAAATGTAAAGAGACCATGAGTATAAAGCCATTTTCCTGTTAAAAATTTGAATATATTTACATAGAAGCCCCCAGAAAACAACACCAGAACACTCTTAGAACAGACAAATCAGCAAACTTTTTTTAAAAAAAAGAGCTTGAAGACATTAGAAAGTGAAAAGACATCACCTGTTCCTAGGTAGGAAGAATCCACATTCTCAAAATGGCCATATTACAAAAATTATATATATTTAATATGATGCCAGTCAAAGCACCAGCAGTACTCTTCAGAGAACTAAAATAAATAACCCTACAATTCATATGGAACCAGACTGAGAATTACAAAATCAATCATGAGTAACAACAGCAAAGAAAGCGGCATCACAACCTGAGATGCAAAAATTATATTACACAGATACACTGATAAAAATAACAGTATGACACTGGCACAAAAACAGACATGCGGCTCAAAGGAACAGAATCGAGGATGCAGAAATAACTTCAGGCACTTTCAGTCATCTCATTCTTTACAAAAAGATCAAAAACATATACTGGACAAAAGATAGACTCTTTTAACGGATGGTGCTGGGAGAACTGGTTAGTCACACCCCGAAGGGTAAACCCATATCTTTCACACTGTACTAAAATCAAATCAAAATAGGTCAAAGACCTAGATATGAAAACAGAAACACTAAACCTGCTGGAAGATAAAATGAGTAAAATTCTTAAAGACAGAGGCACAGGAAAGAATTTTCTGAACACAGCCCCAATCGAAAAAACAGTAACATCAAAAAACGGGATTACATCAAATTAAAAAATCTAAGTAAAGGAAACAACCAATAGAAAGAAGAGACAACCAACAGAATGGGGACAAATTCAGCCAGGCACACTTTAGACAGAGGACTATATCTAAAATATACAAAACTTCAAAAAAAATTAGACCTTGAAAAGTAGATGATCCAATAAAAAATGAGCAACTGAATTATATAGACACTTCTCAAAAGAAATAGTACAAATGCTCAATGGGTATATGAAAAAATGTTTGGGTATCTTTGGTCATTACAGAAATGCAACTCAAAGGAAGGCATAGGTCTACCTTACTAGAGACACAATAGTTTTCATCAATAACTCAAAATAGAAAATGCTGGGGAGGCTGTGGGAGAAAAGGAATCCTTTAACATAGTTGGTTGAAATGTAAACTAGTACAACCATCATAGAAAGTAGTTAGAAAATTCCTCAAAAGATTAAAAGTAGAAATTTCGTTTGACAAAGCTATACCTTTTCTGGGTATCCTCCTGCAAGAGTTAAACCATCAGGTTACAGTAATATATGCATACTCATATTTATAGGAGTGCAACTCCTAATAGTAAAATCTTGAAAGCGGCCTACAGGACCATTACCTGATGAATGTATAAAGAACATGTGGTACATACATGCAATGGGGTACCACTCAGCCATAAAGAAGGTAAATTTGAGTCATATATTTTACTTGATCTCAAAATGCATCCATTTTGAGATCAAGTAAAATATATCAGATACACAAGTCTAAATATTACATGGTTTGTCTTATATAAGAAACCCAAAATATAATTTAAAGAACAAAATAAAAGATGATATGAAAAAGGGAAGTGAAACAGGAAGGGAATCTGGGGTTGGGAAAGAGGAAGTAAAAGTCATTAAAATGTGATTATATATGTGGACTAATTCCCCAAGATGAATGTAAACATTATGTATCAAGAATATATATGAATAAAAATTTCAAACTATGAAGAGCCATTTATATAATTTAAAATTTTCTAGCAGCCACATTAAATAAGTAAAAAAAAAAAACTGGGAAAAGTAATTTTACTACTACATTTTCTTTAATCAAGCCTACTAAAATAGTATCTGACATGTCATAAATATTAAATACTAAAGAGATACATAAATGTTTTCTACTATCATTTTAAATTTTATTTTACATTCCCCATACCTCACAATTCAGATGCCTAATTTTTCATGGCTGGAGAAATTTAATTCTACAAAAACAATAAAATTCTTGATCAATAGAGCTTCTAGATACAGACATTCTAATGCCATCATGTTAACTATTTTTTCAATTAGTAAGGATTTTTAATCAACCAATACTTGAAAATCAGAAAGAAAAGAGGATAAAGTTAAAGCCTGATCGTTATTTAAAAAGAGTAACGAACCTCAGCAGAAATTAAACTTACCTTGAGAAAAAGCTGTTATCCATCGTTTTGCTAGAAAAAGCTGTTGAAGGAAAAATAATTTGAACAATTTTGTTTAATGGAACTTTGTGAGTCTGTGGACAAATAAAATCTATTATTTTTGGAAAAAGTAGCATTAGCCCTTTGAAAATTCCAGGAACAAGTACGAAAAATAGAGATTTCATTAATTAGGAGGAAGTTGTTTAAGGAATTAAGGAAATGAAGTGCTATTCGTGTTTACAGTTATTTGGTTTTCATGATTTGTAAATTTATCTTAATCCTTGACATACTTATTTGCCAGACATGAAAAATGGTCTCTTTAAAAGGCTTTAATGAATAACATTTTGAAATATATTTTATGATTACAAATATGTCCAAAGCAAAGAAGGCAAACTATAAATGGACAATGAAATTCAAAGCATTTGTCTGACTTAAAAAAGAATGCCTATTTTTTTATTTTTCATTAAATGAATACAACCGCTTTTAAAATATATATGAATGTATGTGGAGGTGTGTGTATATATTAAGACATACACAATGCTGAAACATTTCATAGTGGTAAAGTTTTAGAGCACTTCCAAAGTGCTATAATAACAGTCATCCACAGACATAACAGGCAAACACTACTGGACTAGTACAGCAGAGCAAATAAGCAATTAGCAGAACTTCCTAACAAAAACTTTTTAGAATGTTTCTAGTGACAGTAAATACCAGCATTAGTAATTACTCTTCATGTAATCTGGCTTCCATGTCAATAGTTGTTATATCATTTTTCTTACCGTGTAAGAATGTATAAATTTACTGAGTGTTTGCAAATATGTAACCCAAACTCTTTTGAAACCTTAGAACACACAATTATCCAGAAAGTTTTCTACTTCCCCAGGATGGTCCGTCCCTACCCATCTCTCAGCTAGAACTACTGTTCTGATTCTTTTATATCCCAGGTTAAATTTACCTGTCATAAAACTTAATAGAGCTTCTTTCAGCATAATAAAAAAAAAAGGAATAGAAATAAACAGAAATATGCTTTTCATTTGAACAATGTAGAAAATAATCTCCTTTATGATCATTTATACATATAGTATTACCTAAACTAAGAATATAACTTCTTACTGTACACAAAGAACCATAATATATACATAACAAATGTCAGCATTGGAAGAAAATGTACCATGAGGAGAACATCAGAAACAAAAGTAGGTCAGAGATCTAGCCATTAAGAAAACTAAAAGCAAAATTTAAAAAAAAGGAAAAGTGTGTCAAGGAATGGAATGCACATGCAAGGGAGTGGAATAGGGAGAAAGTAAGCAGAAGGTAATGGAAACTAAAGTGGAAAACAGCAATGAGTTATGATACAAGAATGAATCATGAAAGTTGTCTGAGTGGATGGGGAAGGTAAAAGTAATTCCTCTTCTTTGAAGCTGTATATAGAATTGTCTGTCATAGTCAAAACTCAGAATATGAGCTGACCAAAATATAATATGAAAAACACGAACTATGTCAAAAGTTACTTCTTAGGGTTTACTTTAAACAACAAACAAGACACAAGTTCTAAACATGTTTAAAAAACTGAAAATGCTATACTCAAGTAATAGAAAGTTACCCTGTATCATTTTTATTGTTTTTGCTGTGTTTTATTTCTGTCTATGTGGCTGGTATTTTGCTAATGTTCTACTTATTACTATTCTCTTTAAAATAAAAAAGTAATAGAAAGTTTACACAATATTCAGATTCATTATTTCTTTCAATGCTGGAAATCTGTAAACAACAAGCTCGCCAAACCACAGACAGAAAAACTTCCTCTACTCCATTATCAGATGTTCATGGAACCACAGGCTCCACAGTGAAGGAGAAGCCTTTCTTGTAGGAAAATGCATAATCTTGAGACTATAATGTGAAGTGCTATAAACCAGCCACAGAAAATTAAATACTACACTGTTTCTCTAATATGAGAGACCCAAAATATAAATAATTTAAACAGTAAGATAAAACAAAAATGATAAAAAATTGGGAGATAAGACACTGGAGATGAGAAGGTGATATGCGGAAGCAGGAAGAGGGAAGGTTGGGGGCGCTGTAAAGTGATCAAGATTCCACATGTGTATGTACCAATTCTCCAAAATTAATGTAAATACTATGCATACCAATAAACATACAATAAAAAAGTTTCAAAATGAGAAGCCTGACATCAAAAAAGACCAAAGATGTTCACAAATTAATCAAATGAGAGGTAGCAGGTACCTTTACAACAAATTCTGGGGTGAAAATTATTCAGCATCATGGTAAAAGAAATTATTTTTCTGTTTCACCCTAAAGCTCATGAATACTTATTCTGGTACATGAATAGAGTTGAGTTAGCCCAATTTCTCTCTAAAAGTAGGAAGGACCAAGAGAGTAAAAGCATAAATCATCAAAATATACCAAAACATGAAATTTTTTACTTACATGCAGTAAACTGGAGCAGAGAAAGTCTAAGCCAGTACATAAGGTATGTACATACATTGCTATTTTGTTAACAACTGGGATGTTGTGGCTTGGTGAGACTAAATTATTCAATAGCACTGGTCCAATACCACAAAACACAAACTGAACCTGGCTTAGTTCCTCATCAAAGACTGGGACCCCAATTCCTAAAAACAGCTTTCTCTAATCAAAAGAGGTTAGGAAGATTAAACAGTGGTAACAGCCAACAGAGTTTTTGCTAATATTTTCTTGTTAGTTTCACACCCATTTGAGAAAATATTTTAGCATTGAACAGTGTTTCTATTAAACCATTAAAATGCCTTAAACAGCACTTCTTACTCTCATAATTGTTAGTAATTCTATAAGAATTCATAATATTGGAAGCAAATGTAATTATGAATTAATGTGTTGACCAAAATCTGCTTATAATACAACAAAAAAGAGAAAAGCAAATATTATCAGGCACCTAATGAAAGAACACAACATACTTTATGAAATATGATAAAAATAATTTTGCAACCTAATCAAGTCTGAAGAACTACTAATTTGAGAAAAGATAATAGAGGAAAGTGAACACTAGTGCAAAGATATACTTAGCAAAACTTCGTGAATGATACATAAAGAATAAACTAATCTCAATGAATAAAATGCTAGGAAAAAGATGGAAGATGAACAGAGAGATGAAAAACATGTGAGACTGAGATAGCAAATAATAAAATATTAAGACTATTAGCATTAGTGTGACCAATGGAAGTTTAAAACATGAGTGCATATTCACTGATATTAAGGCTTATTGTTAATGTTAAGAATGATGACTGGGATTATAATTTTCTTCTAAAGAAATCTATATATTTAAGATATATATATATTTACTGGCTCCAAAAGAACATCAAAGGAAGGAGATAAATAAGATTGTGCAATAATAATTATTGAAGTCAGGTGCAAAAAACATAGATATTCATCATAACATGACAATATTTCACACATGTTGAAACATCAACAGTGAAAGATGTCCCAATATTTTCCAAGAAAAGAAACATTAACAGAGAAACACAGTTGGGGGGACCTTTGAAACAAACCATTCAAGCTACTTCTTTTTATACATAAAGAGATTAAGGCTCAGACAGGTTAAGTGAGTTGTTCCGGGTCACAGAACGTGTCATTTCCAGAGTCAAGATCCGAATTTAAACCCTCCACAAACTTGCAGTCCAGGGATGCGTTCTTTCGCGAAGCACTAGGAAACGACTGCGCAGAAGCACTCAGTCCCGAGTACCCTCCAAGTTGAGTGTAGCAGAAGCAAGCCACACGGCAAGGGGCAAGGAGAGGCGCTTCATACCAAGAACGGGCTGCCAGTCACCGTGATGAGCTCTGCTTCCTTCTGAGAAGCGTGGTTTCTTGCCGGATTGGAGAAAGCAAACTGGGCTTCTTCCTCCTGTCCAAAGAAGTCCGAGTCAGGATGCACGTTCCACTCCGCTTTGGTCGGTGTCAGCAGTTCCGAGACACTGTTTTCACAAAGGGTACTCGAAGGAGTCAGAGCGTCTGCGTCCACCGTTAGCTTACTGCTGGGTGTCAGAGCCTGGGGCTGCGGCTCTGGAGCGGAGCTTTTCGCAGCCAAAGCGCCTAGGGACCCCAAGGGCCCCGCGCTGACACTGCAGACGCTGTCCACGTCCACGGGACCCTGCTGAGGGCCAGTGGCTGTCGTCCCAAAAAACAGAGAGGTATCCAGACTTTGAGGAAGGTCACCGGCGGCCATCAAGGCCCGAGGGTCCACAGCCTGCCCTGCGGAACTGCTACTCCCGGCTGGGAGATGCCCTGCCAGAGTTGAGCTCACAGAAGCCACATCAATAGTCAAGATTCCAGAGCTCACCAGCGCTGTGTCCAGCACCGCGGCGGAACCACTGCCGGTCACGTCGGAGAAGAGAGACACGATCTCCGCCTCACTGAGATCGTTCTGCCCCTGGCTGGCCAGCTCGCTGCTGGGCGTCAGGGAATTCGCAGCTTCCAGTTCGGCTAACAGGTCGTGGCCCAGGTTGTGCCTTTTGGCCATGTGGGTCTTCATGCTGTGCTTGGACGTGAAGAGTTTATTGCAGGTGGAGACAGGGCACCGGCTCTTCCAAGTGTCCACGTCCTGCAGGTGTTTCTTGGAGTGAATGTAGAGACTGCTTCGAGCGGAGAACCTGGCACAGCAGCCCTCCACGGGGCACACGAAAGGCTTCGTGCCCAGGTGGGTGATGCTGTGGCCTTTCAGATGCTCAGCCCTGGTGAAGGATTTCCCACAGCCCTCCACCGGGCACGTGAACCTGCGGTCATCCTCGTGCTTCCTTTTGTGCCTCAGCAGCTTCGACATGCTGGTGAAGTTCCAGCCGCAGCCGTCGAAGTCGCACAGGAAAGGCCTCTCGCCCGTGTGGCTGCGCAGGTGGATCTTGAGCCTGCAGGCCTTGTCGTACTGCTTGCTGCAGCCCGGGAAAGAGCAGGCGAAGAGCTCCTGCTCCCTGAAGTGGGCGCGGTTGTGGGAAAACAGGGCACTCACCGTGATGAAGGTCTTCTTGCAGCCGGAGAACGCGCACTGGTAGGGTCTCTCGGGCTCGAAGTGGCTGCGCTGGTGCGCGCTCAGCTTGGCCTGCGTGGGGAAGCTCTCGTCACACACCTCGCACTTGAAGGAGTTCTCCTGCTCGTGGCCCTTCATGTGCGCCTTGAGGTTGTAGACGGTGGTGAAGCTCTTGCCGCAGCCCTGCGCCGGGCAGCTGAAGGGCCGCAGTTTGTCGTGCGACTGCAGGTGTCTCTTGAGCTTGTAGGACGTCGTGAAGGTCCAGCCGCAGCCGCCCAGGGGGCACTTGAAGGGCCGCTGGCCCTGGCTGCTGCTGTGAGTCAGCAGGTGCACCTTCAGCTGGTGCTTCTTAGCGAAGGTCTGTCCGCACTGCGCCTCGGGGCACAGGTACAGCACCACGCCCGGGCCCGGGCCCGGAACCGGCGGCGCGCGGGGGCTCCGCGCCGA